CCTTTGGTCGGATCAGCCTCTCGGCGTCCCAGGCTCTGAGGAGTCCCGGCTGATTCGCATTTAATTCTGAAAACCCTCCCGAGTCGAAATACTCGGGAGGCGAAAGCCTACTGAGAGAGTGAAAAACCCTCCAGGATGAGAGTAAATTCACTTTACATGGATGATTAGGCCGTGAGGCTTAATATCCAGCCTGAAATAGTGGCTGGTAACGTTTGGCATAAGATACTCCTGGTGGACCTCGCCCACTCTACCGTGTCACACTGATGCTAGCTGGGCAACCCTTTGCCCGGCCACAGAAGTCCTCTGAGTGGACGAGTTTGCCTCAGAGGCCGGTTTTCGTCGAACCTCCCGTGAAGGTTCGGCTGGCGCCCGACTATTGAGCGATAGAGACGGCTAAAAAGTAGTTTGGATTTTTCCTGGGTGAACAACCCGGGAAAATATCCTTGCAGTAGGCTTTCGGTAGACTCGGTGACCAAGACTTTCGTCCTCATTACGATGCACTAGGACATCTAGGAAGGGAAGAGACTTCTGTTCCTCAATCTCCATAGTGAATTTTATGCTCGGATGTTGTGAGTTGATAAAATTCAAGAACTGAGGCAACGTGTCTGCTCTATGTTTCCAGAGGACGAGAGTGTCGTCGACATACCTGAACCAAATAGAGGGTTTAAGAGGAGCTTCAAGAACTTTGTTTTCGAAATCTTCTATAAAAATGTTTGCTATGATGGGAGAAATGGGTGAACCCAATGCCGCTCCGAATGTTTGTTCATAGAAGTCCCCTTGAAATTGGAAATAATTGGAAGTTAGACAGTTTTCAACCAGAGGGAGGAGTTTGGGTGGGATTTTTGGGTTTTTTTGGTAAGGTTAAGAGTGTCGGGAATGGCTACATTCGTGAACAGGGACTCCACATCGAAGCTAACCAAAAGATCTCCTGGACTAGTTTGAATGTGAGACAGTTTGTTCACGAAGTCTTGGGAGTTTTTGATGAGGGAACTATTCTGACCCATGAGTGTTGGGAGCGGTTTGGTCAGATAGCGAGCTAATTGGTACGTGGGGGCACCAATGTTGCTCACTATTGAGAGGGCTGCTTTATCACGTGAGTACCTGTGCATGTCACTTTGTTTGCTCTCTACTTGAACACTGTTCCTGCTTTTCCCTGCCTCCGGGCTTTTTTGTTGCAATGTCTGTTGCATACACCACATTGCAACCAACATTTGGAGCGATTAAATCTTAGTGTTGGTTGTGATTTTGTCACATAACATCGCAATTTACATTCGACACGGCTCCTAACCTGTAAATTTGGCTCATTGCTTGGCAATTTCTTTCTCTTTACTGTACGCTGCAGCCCCCTGGTGAGTGACTATTCAAGCTCGTAGCCGCGCTCTACTTCATCGACACCTGCAGTACCATCTGTCGCCTATACCACTGCTCTGATCGGCATTGCTTGCATAGGTTGCTTTAAATTCCTAATGATATAATGGCCGATACTGAGAAGGTCTGCTGTGCTAAATGTGGCCGTACTGGTGGTGAACGTTTGGTGCACTGCCGTGCATGTGACCAGCACTTTCACCCCATTTGCATGAGGTCGCAAGTGTTTACCAATGAAAATGGGTCTAAACTACAGATGTGTAACCCTTGCTACACTGCTAGGCGTATTCCTTCCCCCCTCCCGGCCGTCAGTCCCCTTACAAATTGTCCATCGCCCCTGCTGCAACTGAATCTACCCGCCACCTCAACTCAGAGCTCGGGATAAGTTCCAGCCAGCAATATTACTACTTCTATCCTTGAGGCCTTGGCGGTGATCTCTAAGCGCACAGAGTACCTTGACAGTCTCTCCTCTAAATTGGACAATGTTTAGCTGGAACTTTCGGATGTTAAATCGAAATTGTCTGCTCTTGATTCTCTTCCAGCTCTGGTTAAGCGTGTTGATGATGTTGAACTGATTGTAGCGGAACATTCCGATAAAATCAGGGAGCTTAAGCAAGCAGTCGCTGACGTGGTCACCAAAGCTGATGCCTCCATCCCCTCAGCTATTGCTCAGCCCTCCATTGATCCTGTTGTGCTGCAACGTGTTGTTGCTGCAGTCAACTCCAGCCGCGTGTGACTCCAGCACTCCTCAAGCGACCAGACAGCTGCTTCTGAACTCGTCATCTCTGGTTTTCCGAACAGCGAATCGCTCACTGACCCTGTCCCGCTGGCCTTGACTATCTTACGCACACTGCGACCGAATTTCAATCACTTTGATATTTCCAGTATTTGTTTCATGAGGAAAATCGTTAATACAGAGAGCTCATCTACTCCTGCTTCCAACGCCCAAGCGGGGCGGAAATCCATCTCCAGGGTTTCTATTGGGCTAAAACTGTCCTCTTCCAGGGCTAGAGGTCATTTGCCAATTTCGGCCATTGACAGAGCTGGCCTCGCTGGTATGTCCACTCCTGACAGCGGAAATGGCGCTCACTTTGCAATCAATGTCAACGCCATGTTATCATCGAGGACCTTCCAACTTCTGGGGAAAGCCAAAACAGCCCTTAAGGATGTGGGCTTCAAGTTTGTCTGGTCTAGGAATGACTCTATCTTTGCTAAGTTCAAGGAAAGTGACCTTGTCTTCACCATCAACTCTCATGCTGACATCGAGCGGATCTCCAATCTCTACTCTGCTGCCGGTGGTTGTTGACTACCTATCTCTCCGTCGCCAATGCCACGCCTAAAGTCTCCCACTGCTGTCCAGTTCAATGCCTGCTGCCTCAATGTGAACTCACTCAGACGACGCCTTGACACTCTCAAGAGCTCTCTGGACAGTGACAACCTTACCTACCATCTCATTGTGGTTACCGAGACCTGGCTGTCGTCGGCTATTCCCAGTAGTACCCTCAACACCCCTAACTACTGTCTCCTGCGGTGCGACCGTAATGAACATGGTGGGGGAGTCGCCATCTACCATCATGTCTCTGTCAAGGTAAGCGTCATCTCTGCCTCAACTGCGGTCTGGTCGGGACGGCTAGGACATGTCGAGTACCTGTTCTGTGAGGCGCTGGTGCACAACTCTTCCCCAATCTTCGTTGCGGCCGTGTACAGGCCCCCGCATGCCCCCTTCTATTCTCCTGCCAATTTCTCTGAACTCTTGGCGAGCTCGCTTGATGGCTACTCGCACAAAATTATCATGGGAGACTTCAATGCTGACCAGTTGTCGGATAGTGCTGACGCTCGCTTCATACGATCTTTGATGAGCGACCTCTCCCTGAAGCTGGTCGATCATGGCGCAACCCATACGACTCTCACCTCACCGACCTGGTTGGACCTCTGCCTTATTGACGAATGCGACCAGCTATCTCAGTGTCTCACCTCTGCAGCTCCTATGGCTGCTGGACATCACCTTATCTCCGCATCAATCACCATCAATGGATGCAAGCCCCGAGCCTGCACAATCACTACCCGTAAATTGGCTGGCCTAGCGACCCCGCATGCGCTAGAGGACTTCCGGAGTACGCTCTAGAGGACTCTCGTCCCTGGACTTGATGCCGACTGCCTTGCAACAACATTCTCTGATGCTTACTCCCTGCTGGTTGACACCTACGCTCCGCTACGCCGAGTGAGGATAAATGCCATTAAGGCTGCTCCCTGGCTTACTGAAGAACTACGACTGTCCGAGAAACATGTGCGCTCTCTCTATCGGCGATTTGGGCGTGACCGCTCCCATGCGCGGCTAATGGTGTTCCGCCAGGCGAGGAGTATCCACCAATCTCTTCTTCGGAAGGCGCGCATGAACTACTACCGTTCCCGGCTGTCTGGGCTATCGGGAGCATCGCTCTGGAAAGAGCTGCGCAATTTGGCGCTCACTCATGGCCTTTCCAATAGTCTTGCCATTCCGCCTGATGTCCTCAATGTGCATTTTGCTGCTGTCTCGACGGTGACTTCTCTGGATCGGCTCGGCCTCTTGATGTCAGTTTCCCACCAAGAGCTCAGTTTGCCTTAGCTGAAGTAAGCTGGCTGGATGGTAATGCTGCCATCTCTTCCATCAAGTCGAATGCTGTTGCCGATAACATTTCGCGGGGCATGATCTTACACACGTTACCGGCGCTGGCGGAATGCCTTACCAGCTTGATGAACAGGTCGTTCTCTGATTCGGTTTTTCCTGCTGCTTGGAAACGTGGAATCTTTATCACAGCGCCCAAAGTCAGCAGCCCTAAAACTCCGTCAGACTATCGGCCGATTACGATCCTTTCTTTCCTTGGGAAAGTCATTGAGCGGTTGGCTTCTAAGCAGCTGTCTCGGTTTCTTCAAGCGCACAACTTGCTGGATCCTCATCAGTGCGGCTTCCGGCTCGGCATAGCACGCAAACGGCCCTCCTGAAATTAATGGATGATGTCAGACGTGGGGTGGATGAGCGTAAGATCACTATACTGGTGTTGTTCGATTTCCCCAAGGCCTTCGACACCGTCTCCCACCCCATTCTGATCGCCAAGCCTTGGGTCTCTCCATGCGTGCCACCGCTTGGTTCGCTCCCTATTTGGCTAATCGATCACAGGCGGTGAGGGGCGAATCTGGGCCATCAGGCTTCTTTCCAACCAACGCTGGAGTCCTGCAAGGTTCCATCCTTGGACCGCTGCTTTTCTCCCTTTTCATCAATGACATCGGTGATGTGATTCTTGAAGCACGTCACTTGCTGTACGCCGATGATCTGCAGATTTATATGAGTTGCAATCCGGTATCACCCGCCTCAATGAGGATATTTGCCGTATTCGGGCTTGGGCTACCGCCAATAGACTCCAGCTGAATGTAGGCAAGACCAAGGCCATTTTTCTTGGAGCCAAGCATCTTATCAACGCTATTGACTCGTCCGCCTTGCCTCCACTTGGTGCCGACGGCTCCAAGTCATCGAAGTTGTGAGCAGCGTCAGGAATTTGAGGGTTTTTATTGACAGCAACCATGTGGGATCCAGGATCAACTGCGCACTGTACCAACTTTACAGCCTTCGCAGGTACACAGACAAGCCTGTACGCATAATGCTTGGCAATGCCCTCATCTTCCCCCACATTTTCTACTGCCTGGCGGTCGTACAGGGGGTTGGCTCTGTCCTTGATGGGCAACTCCAGCGTATGATCAATCGTGCTGTAAGATTTGTCACTGGCCTGCCGAGGGATGCCTCGATCTCTGGCCCTCGGCGTGACCTAGGATGGCTAACCATCTCAGACTATAGGATGCTGGCCATGGGGACGCTGATGTATCGGGTTCTTGGCTCGGGTTCACCCGCATACCTAGCGGAGCTCTTTGCTGCGTACACCTCAACTCAACCCCGAAGGCAGGTGCAGGCCCAGCAGGCTCTGGTGGTGCCAAGCTTTAGGACGGAGTGCTACAGGGCCGCATTAGCGATGGCTGGTCCTGTGATCTGGAATGGTATCCCAGTTTCCATCAGAGACCAATCCTCGCCTGCGGCTTTCAAAACCAATCTGAGGGGCTGGCTTATGCAGAGAGAGAGCCAGAGAGCGTCCTAGTGACTAAATGTTTTTCATATCTTATTTTTCATTTTTCTTTTCTCAATTCCCATCTCATTCTTTTATTTTATGTTATTAGATTTTACGGCTTTATTTTTTTTATTATGTTTTGTTCAAAATTCTGAACAATAAAGTTTATTATCTACCTATCTATCTATTGGATGAAGGGGGATAGTCTCATTGTGAATTTTTGGGAGACCATAAAGTCTGGGAGAGAAAGATTCTCGGGAACTAAGGATTTTTTGGATTTCGGGAGAGAGATCAGCTCCTTCAGAAGTTTGACCGTCTTCCTCTCCATGCCTGAGGTTGGATCCTTGTTGAGCTTTTTATATATTGTGACGTATTTCGTACCTCTGCGGACGATGCGAAGATACGCAGCCCTCAGCGACCAAATGACAAAATGAAAGTTGGGCGCCAGCACGACTGAATCGTATAAATAAAATGTAAACAACAAAATATTCCAAAATTTCTCCGACAAATGGATAACTGCCGACAGCTCAGACAACCGCGGTGGCGGCTGGGTTCCACAAAATGTTGTCCTGACAATTATTGAAATGACTGGGTTCTCTTATCTAAATATATCGCCAAATTCCGAAAATGCGGGGAATAAAATAGTTTATTCAACAAACCCTCTTTCTCATTCCTCAAATATCCAATAAGAATTCAAATAGTTTATTACATTAATATCCAATTTTTTTTTTTAAACTAAGGACTCGACACATCCAAAATTCCCTAACAGTAAATTATCAACAAAATTAAATACTAGTCAATTAACGAGATAGAATCAGTCAGAAGGAATAAAATTAATCGATAAAAAGATGTCAAGAATTAAAGTAACTAGCAAAATGGAATCAGTCAGATATAACTGAGAGAAAAGCAAATATTACAAGAAAAAAATATTCAGAATGATAAATTGAATGAAGGAGAAAATAATCTCCAGCAAGGAAAATTGGAATCGCCTCGAGAGACAAACAACGAGACTCAAATGACCGTACGCAAGGTCACGACAAATAACTCGAGCGCCAACACTGACGCTACAACCCCAATTTTCGTGAGCAAGGAAAGTAATTAAAATATCCAGACTCAAAAGAAATTAATTAGTCTACAATAAATGCCGGACATCGGAAAATGTCAAAGGAAATGTGTTAAGAAAATCATAAGATGTTAGCCGGTCGTCGAGATCCACATCCGACTGTCGACAATCGGCTAGTCGAAACGAGAGTCAAGAAAGTATAATATAACCACTGAATCTGATCAAGAAAAGGAGATCTCAGAATATTAAAAAAACTAAAAGAATCATTAAATTCACAAATTCGAAATTCTGAAAAAAATAATTAACAACAAAAGAGGCTAACTTCTGCCGAACAAGCAAGAAGGGTTCAACCGGACAATTGACCACATGAAAATAGCGTCAATCGCCCGACGCTAACCGTCGATACAGACAAAATCACCGACCGATAGACTCTTTTTACTTGGGGAAAAATACAACAAAAATTCAATCTTTGGAAGGTTTCCTCCACTCACCAAACTCCTATCGACCTGAAACTCGAGGGCTGGGCAAAGGTTCACTCCAAGAGAGCCAAAACGCAGATTCCTCTGTGCACTCCAACTCCTTTTCTCCAACTTCCGACAACGAAATTTTCACAACACACAGTCCACCGTCCAAACGCGAAGTGAGGCTAAAATCCACGCTTCTCCCATGTGTCGGCGTCGTCCGACGACACGGTTCCCCCATTGGCCTAGGGATATCCACAATCCCCTCTGATTGGTCGTTAACCCAACCTAACCAGAGCCAGCACCAACAGGTGCCTCAATTCACCCACTCAGCAGTAACTCTGTGACGCGAATTATCAACCACAAATAACAAAATCATCCGGGAAAATTATCCAACAATTTATCCCTTCAGCCACCACAATCCTCCTGGACGTCTAACGTCAGTCCAGTTTTCCCCCCATCGCCACCTGAACCACCAGTTTTCGATTCAGCATGGAGGCCCCTAGTTACGCCTCAATGGGTACTAGCCAATGCATTGCCTTCATCTCCCTAGCTATCTCCGGTAGGTGGCGCCGCCGGTCGACCGTGTCTCGCACTTCCCTCCAAAGCGGGAACCATTTCAATTTCAACGTGGCACACCCAAACTCTACAATGGCTTCCCAGAGATTCCTCTTCTCCAGCCCTTCGCAGACTCCAGGCTCGATATCAGCCGATGACTCTAGACGTGGCTCGATACAAAACAAAATGATAAACCGAGATAATTAGACAAATCCAACAAAAAGAAAAGATTGACTCTCGCTTCACAAACACAGTGACTTCTCGTCTGGACGGTGAAACTCCACCGTTGAACGGTCGAAACAAAATAACACGTTACAATATATTCGAATTGCTCAACATGGCTTTGATTTTATCAGAATAAACTTCCTTGTCCATGACCACAGTCGTATTACCTTTGTCTGCTGAAATGTTGACAATATTGTCATTCTTCTTAAGAATGAGTAAAGCTGAGCGTTCCTCCCTAGTAATATTTTATTTGGGAGGTTTCGCTTTGTGGAGGATGTTGGAGAGCTTTCTTCTGATCTTATTGCCAGTCTCCGAAGGCAGGTGGAGGATGGCCGTTTCCGTTTGGCTGATGATCTCTTCGGTGGGAATTTTGGTTGGGGCAACAGCGAAATTGTGTCCTTTCGCCAAAATGGATACCTGGGCCTCTGTTAATGGGAAACTGCTGAGATTCTTGACTGTATGTGTCAAGACTTTCGGCTTCGAAGGAGGGACCAGTTTCTCAAACTTTGCCTTCTGCTTTTTTGTTCTCAACTCGGCGGAATGGATGCCTTGGTCATATGTAATACGAACAAGCGTGCTCCATAACTCCGGTTCCAGAGAACTTGAAAGAATCAGGTGAAGTTTGAGAATCTGTTGGGAAGTCTGAGCTAGGATGTTCTTGGTTGCACAGATTCTTTCCCGGATAAATCTTAGTGAGGCTTGTCGGAGAATTGACTTCGCTTGCTGAGATGGAAAAGGGTTCTTCAACTGAAAGCATTTCGGTACCACTTGATGGTCACGGCAGCTTTTTAAAAATTCTAGAGAGCACAGATGGATGTGCAAAGACTTCCTGAGCTTAGTAAACAAGTTTACAGAGCCAAGGATAGCCCCTCCGTGGAGGCGTTCAATTTGAGCTTTCGCGGCCAATATTATTATTCATTATGATGGCTTCCGGATGCATGCCGCGTCTAGATTCAGCTTTTTGCTGACGTTTCGCAAACATTTCAGTCTGCATCATCAGGGCTAGGTTGCTCCGATACTGAAGCTCCCCATTGTAAGGAAGTCCTTATATACCCCCTGACACCAGGAGGGGGTAGGTAGAGTGATGAGGGTATCCCAGCCAATCAAGATGTTTGTAATTGATCAGCTGGTCAATAAGGACTTTCTTAAGGACTTCATATAAGGACTTTCCATCTCAGCAGGCGAAGTCAATTCTCTGACAAGCCTCACTAAGATTGATCCGGGAAAGAATCTGTGCAACCAAGAACATCCTAGCTCAGACTTCCCAACAGATTCTCAACCTTCACCTGATTCTTTCAAGTTTTCTGGAACCGGAGTTATGGAGCACGCTTGATCGTATTACATATGAACAAACTATCCATTCCGCGGAGTTGAGAACAAAAAATCAGAAGGCAAAGTTTGAGAAACTGGTCCCTCCTTCGAAGCCGAAAGTCTTGACACATACAGTCAAGAATCTCAGCAGTTTCCCATTAACAGAGGCCCAGGTATCCATTTTGGCGAAAGGACATAATTTCGCTGTTGCCCCAACCAAAATTCCTACTCAAGAGATCATTAGCCAGACGGAAACGGCCATCTTTCACCTGCCTTCGGAGATTGGCAATGAGATCAGAAGAAAGCTGTCCAACATCCTCCACAAAGCGAAACCTCCTAAACAAAATATTACTAGGGAGGAACGCTCAGCTTTACTCAGTCTTAAGAAGAATGACAATATTGTCATCCTTCCAGCAGACAAAGGTAATGCGACTGTGGTCATGGACAAGGAAGCTTATTCTGATAAAATCAAAGCCATGTTGACCAATTCGAATATATATAAAAAGCTCAACAAGGATCCAACCTCAGGCGTGGAGAGGAAGCCGGTCAAACTTCTGAAGGTAGCTGATCTCTCTCCCGAAACCCAAAAAATCCTTAGTCCCCGAGAATCCTTCTCTCCCAGACTTTATGGTCTCCCAAAAATTCACAAAGAGACTATCCCCCTTCGTCCAATAGTGAGCAGCATTGGTGCCACCACGTACCAATTAGCTCGCTATCTGACCAAACCACTCCAAATACTCGTGGGTCAGAATAGTTCCCACATCAAAAACTCCCAAGACTTCGTGAACAAACTGTCTCACATTCAAACTAGTCCAGGAGATCTTTTGGTTAGCTTTGATGTGGAGTCCCTGTTCACGAATGTACCCATTCCCGACACTCTTAACATTATCAAAAAACCCCACAAAAATCCACCTAAACTCCTCACTCTGGTTGAACACTGCTTGACTTCCACTTATTTCCAATTTCAAGGGGAGTTCTATGAAGAAACATTCGGAGCAGCAATGGGTTCACCGATTTCTCCCACCATAGCAAACATTTTTATGGAAGATTTCGAAAATAAAGTTCTTAAATCAGCTCCTCTTAAACCCCTTGTTTGGTTCAGGTATGTCGACGACACTTTGGTCCTCTGGAAACATGGAGCAGACACGTTGCCTCAGTTCCTGAATTTTATCAACTCACAACATCCGAGCATAAAATTCACTATGGAGATTGAGGAACAGAAGTCACTTCCCTTCCTAGATGTCTTAGTGCATCGTAATGAGGACGGAAGTCTTGGTCACCGAGTCTACCGAAAACCTACACATACAGACAGATACATCCATGCCTTCTCACACCATTACCCTTCTCAAAAGACCTCGGTGATAAGTTCTCTTATGTACCGAGCTCTCACTATTTCCCAGCCTGAATACCTGGAAGCCGGAGTTCAACACCTGGATAAAGCATTGAATAACAATGAATTCCAGAGCAAACAAGTCCACCGTGTTTTGCACAAGCTGAAAAACAAGAACTCAGCTGAGAGTGAATCTGCTGATAAAGTAGAACATCAGAAAACGCCTGTTCTGCCCTATCTTCAAGGTTCGACCGATCACATTAGCAAGGTACTACAGAAGCATGACATCAGGACAATTTTCAAACCACCAACGAAAATTGGACAAATGCTCCACAGTACTAAGGATGGGAGACCACCACTTAGTCTCCCAGGGGTGTACAAAATTCCTTGCTCTTGTGGAAAAGTATACATTGGTGAAACCGGGAGGAGAATCAGTACACGGATCAAAGAACATCAACGGTGTGTAAAAAATGGCCATTTCTCGTAATCTGTACTGGCTGAACATTGGGTGGACACTGGACACTCTATCCAATATGACAAGACAGAAATGCTTGCCAGCTCACAAGGATATTTCGCCAGGAAACATCGCGAAGGTCTCGAGATCCAAAAACATCCGAACAATCTCAATAGGGATCGAGGATACCAAACCAATCCAATTTGGCACACCATCCTCCCGGTTTTTTAATTGACAAGTTGATCGATTAAAATCATCTTAATTGGCTAGGATACCCCTCACCACTCTACCTACCCCTTCCTGGAGTCAGGGGGTATATAAGGACTTCCTTACAACGGGGAGCTTCAGTATCGGAGCAACCTAGCCCTGATGATGCAGACTGAAATGTTTGCGAAATGTCGGCAAAAAGCTGAATCTAGACGCTTCATCCATCCGGAAGCCATCATAATGGATCTGTTTCTTCGTTTAAATTGCAATTAAAAATTTCGAAGAAAGTCATTTTGTCTTCTTTCATGCCTTTTGATCTCATGACACTCGGAGCAATATTTTTTTTATGAGAGAAATGACTTTTTACGGGGGTAAATTACCCTCTAAATTTTCCCCCTCGTGGTCGATTTCAATTGTTTTTTCCATTATTCCCCACCAGCTGTGTTACAGTGGGAAAAATTTCAAAGTTGGCAAATTCCAGGAAATTGATTTTGTTTCTCTTTTAAATTGCAGTTCCAAAAAGATGCAAAAAAGGTATCTTGTACTTTTTTATGCAGAGTCTAATGAAATTGGTTTCATGAAATTCGGAACATTATTTTCTTTTATAAAAAAAAAGACTCTTCACGGGGGTAGTTTACTTCCCAAATTTCGCACCTCGTGGATGATTTCAATTTCTATTTTCATCATTTTTCATTAGCTTCCTGTTATATCATAAAATATTTGCCTAAACATTCTCCGTATAGGCGCAATTAAAAATATACCCCGAGAGGTGGTCACCTTCAGAGAGCAGTTTTACATCCTAAACCCGCGTATGGGCAGATCAAAAAAATACGTGTAACTTAAACTTGACTCCTCTAAAACATATATAAAGTTTATGGAAATTGGGGGGGACACCTACCTAGTGTTCCTTGTTACAAAATATTTTTCGCCACGATTTCCTGTGGTAGGGTGAGGCCTATTAACCTCAGTATGTATTGTTTCCAAAATTGCACTGGCTCTTCTTCGATTATTTTTAAATGGCATATTATGCATTTTAGATTTTATACATGTTTCACATTTCATAAACTCTGATTCTAATTTTTTAGGTGTAATAATCAATAATTCATTTTCCCATATTTTATTCAGATATTTAAAATTTGTCCAAGCTTTCTATGCCATTTTTCTTTTTGTGTCGTTGTCTCTTGATTATTATCGGTTAATTGACTGTTATTCACTTCTTTGTACTAGTTTGAACTTTTTATATGACTTGTCATACGATAAATGTCCTTTTCTTTTCTAGCAATTGAAATTAACTCATCAAAGGGATTATATATTTCTGATACGTTCTCATAAGATATCACTGTATTTCTACCTGTACCTTTGGCATAACTTATCAAATTTTATTTCATTTCCTTTACATAAAAAACATTAACTAATTTTACAGGGATTTCTCTACCATTAATTTTAAATATTGTTCTCAATCTTCCTATTTTTGTAGCCTTCGTACTACAAATCCATCACCTAATTTCACATCTACTGGTTTCACTAGATTTACACTTGTTTCGAATAGTTTATCATGGTTCTAGGAGAAATGTTCCCCGGAAAATCGTTCCCGGAAAATCGTACCCGGAAAATCGTTCCCCGGAAAATCGTACTCCAGGAAATTTGTTCCCCAGAAAAATGTTCCCCATTTCTTTTTTTTCTGTCTCAATCCTTGAAAAGTTCCTCTTTTTTTCCTGCCTCAATCCTCGTTTTGGTTGCATTCTTATTCCTCTGAAAGGCCAGTGTTGACTTCTTGATTCAACCGGTATGTAATATTTCGGTATTATTGCGATTTGGGTTTGAGAGGGGAAGGGGGGCTCATTGACAAATGTTATTATCGTATATCGAGTAACGTGATCATGAGGCTTACAGTTGTCAGTGTTGTTTCGCCATTCGTAGAGCCTTGTTGTTGCATATAATCAATTAAAATGGTGGATATTGTTGCTTATTTGCTGCTCGGCTCTGCATTTATGCTGCCATGACAGGCATCTTATAAATTTTGTCGCAGTAATTCTGGCAGGCAAATGTTGGTGACTGAGAGAGAGTGGTTTAGCAAATAAGCAACAATATTCACCATTTTAATTGATTATATGCAACAAGTCCCTACAAATAACGATACCACACTGACAACTGTAAGTCTGATGAACATGTTACTCGATATACGATAATAACATCTCTCAATGAGCCCCCCTCGCCGGGAGCCCCCCATACCGGTTGAATCAAGAACAAAACATTGACCATTCAGAGGAATAAGAATGCAAAGCAAACGAGGATTGAGGCAGGAAAAAAAAGAGGAACTTTTCAAGGATTGAGACAGAAAAACAAGAAATGGGGAACATTTTTCCGGGGGACAAATTTTCTGGGGTACCATTTTCCGGGGAACAAGTATCCGGTAACCGTTTATCATTATTGATTATGTGATCAGTGCATCCGCTATCTAATGTCCAATTAATTTCACTGTCTTTTGTTTGTTCGCTACTTACATGTGTTTTATAAACTTCAGTCATAAATATGTTGTAATATCTCTGATAGTTATGTTGGTCAGATGCTCTTGGTATCTTGTCGTTGTGTTCACTGCTCCCCTGTAGTTTCCTCTGCGGAATCCCCTTACGTTGCCCCTGTAATTGCTGCTGTCTCGTGAGAAATCTCCTCTGGCTCTGCTTTGTGATCTACCTCTGGTGTGACCTCGACTGATGTCATACTGCTGCCTGCAGTCTCGTTTGAAGTTTCCTGGCTTACCGCACTTGTAGCATGTCTGTGTGTATGTTTTCATCTCTGTATTAAATGCGCTGTAGTTATGGGGTTCACTCTCAGTCTTCTTTGTTTCCTTCGGTCGTTCCATCATTTTGGTTTTAATTTTGCTTTTTAGAAGTTCAACTGTTTTTGCTTCCGAAGGGAAGTATTGTTTTTAGTCGATTTTTCGATTTTCTAATTTTGATTGAAAATGGTCTAGAACGTTATACAACGTGAAGAAATGATGTTTTTAGGGTCATATCTGTATGCATGTGTGTGCAGATTTGGATTTTTGGTGACTCACTTTTAGAAAATTCAACATAAATACGGTGAAATTCGCAGATAAAAATTTAAAATTTTGGCACATGATAGCTATGAATGAGCCCCACTTTGGTGCTTTGTTTCAGCTCGATCGGTCTAATAATTCCTGAGATATAACCACTTGTTTAAATTTCATTTTTCCTCAATATCTCACCAACAACTGCATCGATTGCAATTTTTTTCCAAAATATTCGTCTCGATGGCCCCTATCTAGATCAATAATATCATATATACCGATTTATGCAAAGTTTGGAGATTTATTGCCGTTTATCCGTTTTTTCGTAAAAAAAAATTCTGCGCACGATAACTCAATAAAAAATGGAGATAGCGACTTTAAATTTGGTATGCTTCTAGCTTTTATAACATAGACGGTTGGTATTCTGGATGGTTGCAATTGTTACATACAAAATCTCTAAAATTTAAAATCTCTTCTGTTCAATTTTATTTAATGTTCGCTAGACGTATCGAGCAGCCGCGTCTCTCGGACGTCCGCGCGCTGAGCTCGAGCGTCAGCAATTTTCGGCACGCGTGACGACTCCGAGCGTCAGCGAAGACTCCAAGGGCGCGGTGACTGATCTATACTCGCCATATCATATTTAATTCACATTTACCTTACGAATAGTCTCGCGCGCATGAAATTAAAATGTCAGCATTTCCATACGTAAAGTATCACGCAGAATTTTATTTCTATCCCCGTTTCGCACGTGAGCGCAAAATTTGACGATGAAGCGCTCATCCCCAATGGGTGCATCGAAATGAAGAGCGCTCGAGACAATAGTCAGTCACGATTTTACCGTCAAGGGAATAACATAAAATTTGGCTCCTGCACAATTATTCCTCCGCACTCAACAACGCCGTGTACGTTTCCCTTAGTCTTGGGCTTTAACCGTGCGGCAAACCGACTTCAGTGCGCGTCCGGAATAACTGCAGTAATAATTTCGATCCGCGACAATTACGCTCAACTTCGTAGTCGCGCAAGTTAGAGCATATCATACACGCGTATGTCACTGGTTGGACTCATTTGCAAATTCTACCATTAGTTATTAGATTAAAATCAAGTTAACTGAAATCGAAGCGAACCTTTTATAATACGTGAACTAATTCTTAGTGGGATTTAGTGAACTTTATCAACTAATTTGACTTAATATCTCCGAAATAATGAAATTAATCAAAACTGAGTGACTATCCAACTAATTAGGATTCGCCGCCCCCTGTCTATCCAAAGATCATCGAAGGACGTTTTCGCCGACTATACCAGTTTTGTAAAGTACTAAGATAAGGGTGAGCCTAATTATTTCCACATTAGATTTTCCGGGACAAATCTTCGGCCTCTCTCAATTTCATTGTTCGAATCGAGTCAATCAATTTTATATGCGCTAATCGTCCAGTATCGAATTCCAGAATATTGCGAATTGTGTCAATTAGTTAAATAAATTACTAGTTCAATTTATTTTGATTTAAAGTATAATGTTCCGAGATCATATATTTCTCAATTTAACAAAAGTGCTTTATTCATGGGGATATTAAAGTTTTAACGGCAACTCACTTCGGTTTATAAATTATTTCATTTGCCCCTCAATAATCTCCTTCGTACCTCTAACTATTTACATATCCAACGACACGATTCAGTGAGAAGTGCGTAGCACTGAAGGTAAGGGTCCATAGGGATTAGATTCTCAAGCAAAGACCATGTAAGTCTTGGGAGAATAGTCCAAAATTTTATTTGTTGTGAAAATTATCGGACCTTCGTC